CCCCCCAACCGCCCCCCACCCACCTTGATCATTGATGGTGTACATGTGTGTGAGCTAAGGTGTCGTTGAGATATGGGGGAGCATATGGGGAAAAGACACCCACCGGCCCCCCCAAGCCCTAAGTGTCTAAAGTGGAGTTAAAATAGAGGGGAAGGGAGCTGTGCAGTCCAGCTGTGGAATATTATTATTAAACGAAGCATTTTTTAAATAAACAGTTAATATGCGGTTGCCAGCGTGGTCATGTATCACAATCTTCCTTGAAACATATAGAAAAATACAACTTTTTAAAGTTGGGCTGATACCTGGCAGATGAAATTTAGGGTTAGGGTTAGGGTTAGTCCGGTAATCCATGGAGGGAGCAGAAATATAAAATACAGATATTTTATGGGTTCCACTGAAATAAAGGTAACTGATTATGAGAAAGACCTTGGTGTGTATGTTGATGCTTCCATGTCCCGCTCTTGCCAGTGTGGGGAGGCAATTAAAAAGGCCAATAGGATGTTGGGTTACATCTCTAGGTGTGTGGAGTTTAAGTCAAGGGAGATGATGCTAAGATTATACAATTCCTTAGTAAGACACCACCTGGATAATATTCATTATCAAAAGTGTCCTTTTTCTGTTTAGTCATGCATGAACACAGTAAATAATCTGAATCTTTTTTCCTTTAAAATGGCCTTTAATGTTCTCCATTTTCATAACAACACAATGTTGTCACTGTGTCACTTCATTAAGTGCCAAGTTATTTCACACAAGCAACTCACTGCCTATAATAATTCACAGGCATGTGTTGCAATGAGCTGTAATAGGGGCTCTTATTTAACCGTTTGTATGTTAAACTGGTTCGTAAACCCAGAACTTTCACCCATAACTTTGTTTCTATTTGGCAACAGGCCACTTGGTAAACAGAAAAACAATCAGAGGGGGAGGTATATAATTATAGTAAGATTAACTAGTTATTTAAGTGGTCTGCATAGAATAAATGTACAGTGTAAGAGTATTGAACTCCCCCCCCCTCCCCAAAATGACCAGAACTGCCTAAATTACAAATTTATACACATATTATTTCTGTCAGCATTTTTTAACTTGTCTCTCACAGTAAATGGACGAATGTCTGATAAATTGCTGCTTGCATAAGTAACAGTAACAGTAACCCTAACAGTAACAGTAACAGTAACAGTAACCCTAACAGTAACAGTAACAGTAACCCTAACAGTAACAGTAACAGTAACCCTAACAGTAACAGTAAC